GAGATCGAAGACGCCTGCAAGAAAGCGCATATACACGATGACATTTCCAGACGAGAGATGGGCTATGAAACCCCTTGCGGGGTTGATGGAAGGTATGAATCACATGCCAGCGGTATGGTGCAAGCTGACTTGTCTAGGAACTTCTCTGGAGGGCAGGGCCAGCGGTTGTCAATTGCGCGGCTGTTACTACGAAGGCCAAGAATTGTTTTGGTGGATGAAGGTACCAGCTTTCAGGATGCAATCACTGAAAGCCTCATCAAGAAAAGTTTTTCGGAAGAATTTGGAGAAATGACTGTGTTCTTTACGGGGTAAGCGACCTTACGCTCCATAGTAGTCCGTCCCACCCTAACAACAACAGGCACCGATTTTCCTCAATCATGGGTGCAGAGGAGATTATCGTCCTCGGAAAGAAAGGATCCATCCTACAGAGAGGCAGTCATGATGAACTCTTGGCGTTGAAGGGCGGGAAATACTGGGAATACTGGCAAAATCATCTCGGAAAGTAGACCCAGACTAGAACGGCAATGCCATACGGTACAGTACGATGGCTTCAACACTCCCTTGAGTGGTTGCTCCGAAGTGTTTATGCCCTCAGTCCTGGGCCAATAAAACCGTAGGACGAGTGAAAGGAGTTCCACCTAATCCCAGCAGACTCACATAGATGGTCAGCTACTAGATTGACCATTGTATTCGATTCTATTTCGATCTTTCTGAGCTAAAAGCTCTGATTGAGTGCAGGTGCCTAGTTTTCCATGGTCGGGACGTTGAGATGAGCTAAGAGACAGCCAGTCTTTGACTTACCCGGGCAATGGGTGAACAACTGGCCAACGCATCTTTGGTGAGTCTCATGGATGGATGGACGGAGGGGCCTGATAACTAGGACATCTTCTCTCTGATATGCCTACTTTTGTTTGATTTCACATTACTCTTTTGTCCGCGAGGGAAGAATTTTGACAAGTGTGATGAATTCGAATTCAGTGAGTGTTAGACAGCTAGGTGTATTGCAACAATCCTCTCGGTGGCACTTGGAACGCGTCGACAATCGGCTTGGACCGAATTCGCAGACTTCGCTCCGGCTGTAACATCCGAGACACGGGTCTCTCGATAAGGTCGTCATGATGCAGCGTCTTTCTGGTTCGTCGATAATTTTGAGCCATGCTATCGTCTGTCCCCGAGCATCACCTCCTTTGTTCTACCACAGCGCGGATAAGCCAACCTTTCGTCGTTTTCTCCGGAAGGGGTAATCGTCCTAATACGAAGAGCATAGTGACCCCTAGTGCCCATATATCCCCCAAGCGCGTCTCGATGCCGTTCCGTTATTAGGTCAGGCGGGACATACCATGGAGTACCTCCCGTCATCGTCTGTTCATCAGCGTTTGTGGCTAGCCCGAAATTTATCAACGTGACACCGCGGGAAGGCGAATAGGTGATGTTTGCCGGCTCAATGTCGTTATGGTGAGCCTTCTTGTTGTGGAGATACCTCAGGGTAGATGAAGACTGCCAAAATATTGCGTGGACATCGGTTGGTGTGAAAGATGATGGTTTGCGGTGACCCGGGCTTGAGGGAAGATGCGGGAGAATCATCAAGCCTAGACGGCCGTCAAAGGCCAGTATTAATACCATGTTTGGCTGCTGGCCATTAGACAAGTCTGCGAGCAAACTACCTTGTGGAGTTCGGCGATGGCGTGAAACTTACATGGTGTAAACACTGTAGGAAAAGCGCTTGTCTTTTCCAATTCATCGCACTTCTCATCAAGCCGTGGCTTTTGTCGGCATGAACTTGTCCACGTCAGCCACGCGGTACCCTGAAGCTCCTAGCGGCAAACGATGTAAAGGCCGGCTGACGAAGGCTCGGCGATTTGACAAAGTCGACCAAGCGTATAGGTGGCCGGGTTGCCGGCACCCGATTTCTGTGATCACTATGGAGTACTACGACTTTCTCAGACTGCTCTGTGATGACAGTAGCCATTTCCTCGTCTCGGAGTCTAAGAAGTGATGCACTATCCGTTCTGTGTTTCTTGGCCACTGTCTCGAAAAGCCACGGCGAACTACCTTGGGAGAAACGAGAAGTAGACGAGGTGTTGCGTGGTCTTGTCGGTTTGAGAGTCCACCGAGATCCTCCACAGCTTTGGTCCCACTGTTCGGGTCTGATCGTTCCACAGACGTATCATTTCCTCTGTCTAAGCCCGAGAGGCAGACATCCACGTACGACTTATCGACCAAAAGACAAGGCATCCTCAACGGAAGTGGAATGATCCTCACAATGGAGTTGGAGTAACATCGGGCGGGTTGTCGGCGGGTTGTCGGCGAATTGCAAGATCGGCCATAGAAGGGTTGATAATGAGCATAACCCATGCTCTCCGGTCGCTAGACTACACCAAACACGTTCCCGCCACCAATAGTGTGTGGAAGGGAACCGGCAGTAGATTCGGTGTCGACTAGCAGGCAAGCGAGGGGGAAAAGAAAGCGAGCATTCGGTAATGATGCGAGATGCACATTTTTTAATAAATGTTGACCAGGTCATCGACATGGAGGGTGGCGGGCGTTAGCGATGTAGACGCAACCGCGGCGAAGGTTTGCTCAAACGATCGGCCTTCGGTTGCTATAATTCTATAATTTGCTCTAAACGGTGCTGCCACCCTGCCGGATCGCTGAAATCCTGCACTGGCTTTTCAACGTGTGCGAACTTGCTGGGGAGGGTCGAAATATCAACTCCTCAAGCGAAAGACTGTGTTGTCCCTCAAATACAGTAGGCTAAGGGGATGAGTATCGTTCAAGTAGCACGCTTTCATGGGTACATGAGACTTCGTATTGAACTGGGGCACGGCGCCTAATGGGCGCGGACGTCGGCGCCTAGACCCGCCTCGTCCATTGTTGCCGATCTTGGCATTCTACTCGAACCCGGGATCCCACTTCTCACCACTCACGCAAAGCACAGTTTGCAATTCAACAAACGCTTTCTCCTTTTTCGCCCGACCTTCACCACAGCCTATGTTGTCCACAAACCACGCCGACTCACCGTAGTGGGCGCTCGTGTCGACATTGCACATACTTTCTTCCCCACCCGCCGTCGTATCGGCCGACTACCTTACCGGATGGCCGCCCGCCCGCCCGATTGATAATTGAGACGAATTGCCGCAAATTTTCCGCCTCGTCGCCGCCGAAGACGACCGATCTAATGAAACCAGAATGAATACGTCGATTCAGGCCTGAGCTTCGCGATCTCGATTTCGTGCTGATTAAGCGGTGTGCGAAGTACGACACCATGACCGGCCCTGTCCTAGGCCGTAAGAGGATTCATCGATTCGGCAAGGGAAGTTTCAGACCGGTCTGGTAATCTTCAGGATCTTGGAGACTGTATCGCTTTGCTGCATGAAACGCGCTGTAAAGATTGCTTCGAAAGAGCAGTAATGGGGACGACGAGCAACGTCGCTGCTGAAGCGGAAGCGCATGCGAAAGTTTTGAGTTTTCATCGCACCTGGTCCGGAATTTCCAAAGGGATCAGTTTTGGAGAGAAAAAGAGATGTTATACTGGGGTCATCGAGCATTTCATGGAATATAACGGTGTATTGGTTTAGCTGACCAGCCCAATGTGCCTGCTGATAACATAATAGTAGGAGCTATAAGAGATGACAGATAGAATTGTTGCTCGGGGGTATCGGCCCCGTAGCGATATCATGTAACCATGGAGACCCGAGTGTTGAATCTCGGCCTCTTTGCCTCGTCCACGCCCCATCGAAATTCAGGAAATGGAAGGAAAAGACAGAAATGCGACTGAGACATGCGCCCCTAGAAGTAACTATCAAGGTCATGGCCACTGATAAGCTCTGAAGAATAGCTTGAAACTGTTACTGTACCATTGGTAACACTGTCGGTTGCTTTCGTCGCGAGCACTCGTCCACTGATCCCTTTTCGTTCTGAACGACCTTCCTTCGTGATTGAAGACGATGTAAGTCCCTTTCTTTCCCCTTTCGACGGAAAGTTGGACCTCGTTGTAAATCGTGAGACTGCTTGAGGCTTGAGCTTGAGTCTGGGAGCTTTGACCATGGTAGCTGTCATCGGCTTGTTCTTGTCCAAAAGTTGGCGTTTCGGACATTTCGCTGGTTTCCTCCTCGAAACCTTCATTATCAGCCTGCATCGCCGATGGCAGCTCGAGATCCTCTGCAGCTTGTGGGATAGATGCCGCATTGAATTCCTCTTGTTGCAGAAGTAGAGCTGCCATGTCTTCCGAGTGCTTCTCTTCCAACGCCAATTGCATCTTTTCATGCTTCCGGTCCCACTCGAAATTCGCCTTCAGATCGAACTGGAACTCGAAATGGCTTAGATCAAGCTCTGGCTCGTTTTTGACAAGACTTCCGAGTCTGTGCCATTGGTATTGTCCAAAGGATGTACAAATGTCAATGTACTGGTGAGGGTCCCCTCGTGTATCAGCACCGAAGAGTGGTTCGAGTCGACATGTCGGCTTTCGGATAATCCAGGTTCGGAACGTCGTTGCTCTGGTAGTTTGACAGTAAACAGCGTTGGTGCGATCTTTGTTCATAGCCAGCAATGCTTTTGTCTCGACATCATTTTCCGCTTGTGCGATGTCTGCTGGGCCAACCCCTAGCTTCTTGTCCTCCCCTGTCACCACTTTGCGCAGCCGACCATGAGGCGTCAATTCCGACACAACCCTGTCAATTTTCAGATTTGAATAATCCGGATAGATTTCCTGGCCGACGAAGAATCCTTGCCTCTCTGGAAACATCTGTCGACACTCGAATGCCCAAAATGAGTTGGTATGACCTTCGCGATCATCTTCATAGATTGTGGTGTAGAGATTTTTCCTGATCTCGTGTGTTCGGTCTGCTTCAAAGAAAGCCATTTCTGAGTATAATATATCAAGATAAAACAGTTGCAGACTCAGGAACGCTTCTGTAACAGGCACGATTGTATTTTATAGACACTTTTGATTTCTTTCCTTTTCCCTTTCCCTTTCCCTTTCCCTTTCCCTTTCCCTTTCCCTTTCCCTTTTCCTTTCCGCTTTCCTCTTCCTCCCCGTTTCCTTTACTTTCCTTTCACTTTCCCTTTCCGGGCGTTTCAAGCCCAAAGCTCCACATCCACCTTCAGGCGTGCCTTACCACATAGGGGATTCACTTTTGGAGCATGTTTTCTCTCCTTCAAAACCACTTTCGGCGGTCTGGTAAATTTCTACATCTCACATCCCTCAATACTCACATCGCACCCCTGTCATCCATTCCGCAAATTTCGAGTTGGGTCTAGTGTACCATGAGACGCGAAATCTCCCTCCATGTCAACACCTCACTTGAGAATATCGTCACATTATGCGAGAAAGAGGTAAGTACCGAAGAAGAGCAATTCTCCTTGCTGCTTATCAGTTTCAATCAGGTCGGGAGCCCCTGCCAGCCGCCCGAATGGTGCGAACTTCAAAACCAAGACATCGACGCAACAGGAGAAGATGTCGTTGCCATCGTATTGGATGTAGTTTCCTCAAATGGGCAACTGCGTACCTTTAATGCGCAGAACCAAGAAGTGGAGATGTTTGTGGCAAAGGATTCTGCTCAAAATACGAGACGCGCTGTGATTCTACTACCAGGAAAGGATCTTAAATACACCTGTTTTGGAAAGTGCAAAATTGGAATCGTGCGGAAAGCTACGTAGACTATGATGGGTCAGAAATTGTATACATAATGTTTGGCCGCTTGGTGATCAGATCTCTCGCAACGCCGGCCGAGATCCTCACAGTGACAAATGGGGCTGCACTACTAAATGGCATGGTCAAAAAAATGTCTATGTCGCCGTTCGCAATGATTTTTATGCCGTCCATAGGCTCCAATTTATAGACGAGTCCACCCATGGGCCCTGCGTAATGTTAGAGACTGACGCGCCATGCAATTCAAAATGACACACCTTCTACGGGTGGGTACAAAAAATCGTGGTCGATCTCCTTAGCAATATCGTGATCGTGGTCTGCGTTTGGGAAGGCTTGGCCGTGACTTCGCTTGCGACCGCTAATCGCAGCTTCATCACGGATGTCAGCGAGGTTGCTTGCGACACGGCTATCAGACCCTGCAGCGGTAATGCATTGCGATACCGGGACTGTAACACCGACGTTGTGAATTTGTTCGTGATTCGACTCAACAACTGCAGTATGGGTACTGTCATCGGCTGATTTATGGGTTGGCGCATGGGTCGACGGCTGGTTTGAACTGTGCGTTGATTCGCAGCCCTCATCAATGGTGTGATCAGCTACGTCATGGCTCAGGTCAGTCGTAGCCGCGATGAATAAGGTGGAAGCACTTACCCGACGGCAAAAAGGCCCTAATCGTATGCTGGTGCTTTCCCTTCAGCTCTGCAATGAGGCTGTCAAAATCGGTGGGTGGACAGGTCTGACCCCACCAAGTGTTGAATCCAGCGACAAACGATGGGCCATCTGACTTGGCGAACGTGGTTGGAGCTAATCCAAAAGCACATAAGAACAGACCATTGAAGCCATGCGTCTTGTAGATGTCGAGCAGTGTTGTGCGCCTCTTGTGGTACCTTGTCTTGTCGACAGAGTTTTTGAAAACGGTCTGAAGCTGTATCAAATTGAGATTCTTTTGAAGATTGTTTTCTTGTTTGGGGGACAATTCTCGGGTCAATTTGCTTAGCTGGTCGCTCAAAGACGCGAGGAGCTGGGCCGAAAGTTGTGTCGCAGACGTGGAAGGTTCCATACCTGTGCAATTAGCGACGGACGACTTTGAGGAAGAAAGGAAGGGAAAGGAAGGGAAAGGAAGGGAAAGGAAGGGAAAGGAAGGGAAAGGAAGGGAAAGGAAGGGAAAGGAAGGGAAAGGAAGGGAAAGGAAGGGAAAGGAAGGGAAAGGAAGGGAAAGGAAAAGGGGAGTAAGGAAAAGTGGAGTATCTGTCGGGTGACCCCGATCCGGCTTTACATGCATGCATGACGTCTTCGGACCGGCAGAAAATCCGCGACGGTCATGAATACAACGAGGTGTCCCACATTCTGCTGAATCCCTGTTCTCATTTTGCACAAGTCATCAGCGTATACACGCCTCAAGACCCCAATGAAGTCTGTCTGTGTTCCGCAATCTTGTGGCCTTTGTCGATGCCAGATCGCCCTAGGCGACACAATCGTCGCCGGTAAGGTAGCTCTTTTATCTTCCGTATCATAGTTCTAATGGATCCAGTGCGGAGAGACGGCGCTGAGCGATCTCAGCCGTACTCATACAGTGTAGTAGGCTTCCTCGACAGCTCTCAAGAAATTGAGTATGTTCAGTGTCGCGGGAGATGCCAGCACGACGAGAAGAGGATTGGCTGTCACCTTGACTGCTACAGTTCCATATCCATTGAGACCTTTTCGCAGACCTACGAAGTGACTGCACCCGACTTCGAATCATCACAATTAGCGAACTGCCAGCGTTCCCGCTGGTTACGGTCCTGGCTCGCCTCGATAATCAGAAGGGCGACGCACTCCCGCCTTCCTTTGGAAGTCTGCAGCGACATCGCAGTTCGGGCTCTTGATCAACAGACCAGCCGTCGAATGGCTGTTTGGTATGCCGAGAGAAAGTGCGGTGAGTTCGCGAGAAACGTATCACAAGTCGCCCTTTCAAAGAAAATATATGTTCGATACGCATACTTCGAGGGCACCCGATACATTGCGCGATTGACAAATGCAGCCACCAACAATAGAGATATACTGGTGTTTGATCCACTGTCGCAGACACCAGCTGCAATGTTGTACGTTTCTAGTGATCACCTTGGCATTCGACAGTTGTTATTTGTCAATTCGTCAAGCAAACCTGCGATCATCCAAGAGCCGGATGTCTGGTGGAAAACAATATGCCTTGGCAGTCTGGGCAGGTTCATTCGAACCCGAGGCGATGTGCGCAAGCATTCGGGATAAGGAAATTCTTGACAGTATCTAACTTGGGTGGCTAGGGCTCGAAAATGCGTGTACTTGCAGGCGAGAGCTTGCAATTACCACAAGTTGCCTGGGGCTTACCTCAAGCAGTGTATAAACACCTTCGCCTAGAACCCCTTTGCAACGCCGAATCAACCTATCGCATGTCGGTAGTGCCATGCAACCATCCTCCTACCACGGCCTATTCGCTTTGCTGGAACCAAAGTATTTTGACACTGCACGCACACACTACCGGCGAAAATTTCGACTTCTATCATGAGCTGAGAACCATGGACGAATCTGCTCTATGGTTCTATATGCCACTTCGCGTGGATGAAGTGGTGACAGAAATCTGGAAGTGTGATGGTTCTCTTCGCAGCGCAATCGCTTTGTTGGTACGTC